TCCAGAAGAAAATCTGCACATGTTATGTTAGTGAATGAGATTTGAAGTGTGCATAGCAGGAGTTAATAGTAAACAGGAAAAAGAATAAAATAATAAAAAGAGGGAGGAATGAATGTCAGTTTAATGGAGTGATAGTGGGCATATTAGCAAATTTGGGAAGGAAAGAAGGGAATGAGAAAGAAAATGAATTAAGAGAGGAAGATGCAGATGTACAAGGGAACAGTTGTCCCAACAATGCTGAATAGATGTGAATCAAGGATTTTGGACACACGTGACAGATTAAAATTTATTAGTGATAGAAACAATGTATTTATCAGGGATATTAGTTATGCGAGACGAAAGGCTTGTTGTAGAGAGAAGAACAAAGGTTTCCAAGGTTTAGGCATTTTGAGAGTGACTGTTCTCCATGTCCCTTAAGTTATGACTTCCATGCCATTTTAATTTTATTTGCTCATAATAATTTTCAGGCACCCTATACAACCTTCTGACAATGCAGTGATGTCATGGTTGACTGCCTGGCTCAACTGTGTCATGTCGTCCAGGCCCTGAACATACATGGGGGTTAGGTAACAGATACCCGTGAATGTTAAAAATCTGTGTACTTTTGCTGCCTCCCCCCCCCCCATGTCCTTATTTACCGTATACAGTATACCTGTGTGTAGTTCGAGTTTTTAAGACCAAATTATTTGGCAAAAAATTGGGGGTCGACCTCTAAACAGGTAATAGTTTAGTTAGGTTGAAAAACAATGGAAACGACGCACCAACGCACCACCAGCTGTGAGTGTCGGTACAGTTGCCAGGGAAGATCTCTTGCGTCATCATAGCAAGCCCAAAGTAGCCAAATGCATGGTATGGTATGCACAAGACGATGTAAAACATAAAGGTAGTAGTACCCCGCTTAACGCGGTCAATAAAACCCACAGGGTACCGTGTTAAGTGAAAACCGCGCTAAGTGAACAACAGAACATATGGGATTAATTCCAATAGAAACTGGCCCGATCCCCAAACTCCACTTTTTCCACCACAATACCTGTTCTAGTAAAAATAACATCTTAATTTTATGATGGTACATGCACACAATTAATACTTTAGAGAAATACAGTCGCCAGTTAATGTCCATTCAAATAACGGACTGATTCTCTCACACTACACTGCTGGTTCTTCTCTGGAGAAATTTTTGGGAAAACCACTCATTTTAATAAATAATACCTCAAACTAAGTTAGATAATACAATTGCTGATTCCTTTAAGATTAGGAATATTTTGAATATAAATGTCATATATTTTGACAAAGATAAATATTTACCAGAGTACATTAAAATTTGTATGTCTAATGCAAAATCTATGATGTTTATATTCAAATGATCATCAAATTATAAATTCCAGCAATGTAAATTATATTCTGACCGGTAATTTGTATGAATTTTATGAGCAAACAAATATCTTCAGTTAATAAAAAAATATTCTTCACACGGTAACAGATGGTCTGTCTCTTCCTCCTCCCTCCACCAACCGTCCCTACCAGATGTGTAGGAAAACCAGAATATTTTTTTTAGTAATAAATAATTCCTCAAAAAAGTTAGATTTGACATTGCTGGATTTTTGAATACAACAAACAGATTTTGCACAAAAATAACATTTACTCAGAGTAGCTTACTAATGGGCCTATGATGTTTATATTCAAAATCAAGAATCCAGCAATGTAATTATATCTGGCCGGGTAATTTGTATGAATTTATGAGCTAAAACAGGCAGTCAGGCAGGTGGCGGTGGGGCAATCTAAAATAGCTCGAGCCGACACTCACCGCGTATATTGAAAACTTGAGCCTTGCAGGCACCGCGATACGGTAAAACGCTGTGTTTAAAACCGCTAAGCGGTATTATTAATTTTTCAAAGTTTATTTTAGATACTGTACATAAATTTTTGTTCATTAATTTGAAACATCAATCTTAGTTAATTAAATTTGAAACAATAGAAAACTACAATACCATATTTCTAAATACCGGTATTTTCATTAAAAATACATCACAAGTAGTATTACTCGCTTTTACGCGTTTCACTTACGTGATTTCCATATCGTGCCTCGCCAGAACGAATTTTCACTTTCCGCTGTTCACTTACCCATATACGTAGGAAGTATAATTTTTTTTTTATTTAGCTCATAAAATTCATACAATTAGCCAGAATATAATTTACATTGCTGAATTTTACAATTTGATGATCATTTTAACATCATAGATTTTGTATTAGACATACAAATTTTAGATCTAATGTTTACTCTGAGTAAATATGTTATCTTTTGTGCAAAAATATATGACATTTATATTCAAAATGTTCCTGGTCTTACAAGGAATTCAGCAATGTCAATTATATTATCCTAACTTTAGCCTGAGGTATTATTTGTTACTAAAAGTTAAAATTAGTTTTTTCACCAACACTTCTCTGGTAGGGAGGAAGGTGGGGGTGGGGGAGGGTTGGGACCGAAGACCATCTGGCACGTTGGAAGAGGGGTAGCAAGTTGGGGTACTTTGATTGACAGATAGTGTCGTGAAGAATATTTTTTTTATTAACTGAAGATATTTGTTTTAGCTCATAAAATTCATAATTACCGGCCAGAATATAATTTACATTGCTGGAATTTACACTTGATGATCATTTTGAATATAAACATCAGATTTTGCATTAGACATACAAATTTTAGATCTACTGTAAGTATTTTGTTTACTCTGAGTAAATATGTTATCTTTTTGAAAATATAGGACAGATATATTCAAAATATTCCTGGTCTTGCCAGAATCCAGCAATGTGAACTATATTATCCAACTTTAGTCTGAGGTATTATTTATTACTAAAATTTAAATATTTTGTTTCTCCCAAACATTTCTCTGGTAGGGAGGGGGAGGAGGGACACCAACTGGCATGGTGGGAAGAGAACAAGGTGGGGTGTTTTGATTGAAGATAGTGTCATGAAGAATATTTTTTTTTTATTAACTATAGATATTTGTTTTAGCTCATAAAATTCATACAAATTACCGCCAGAATATAATTTACTGCTGAACTCTACAATTTGATGATCATTTTGAATATAAACATCATAGATTTTGCTTTAGACATACAAATTTTAATCTAATGTAAGTATTTTGTTTACTCAGAGTAAATATGTTATCTTGTGCAAAATATATGGCATTTATATTCAAATATTCTATTCCAATGTCATATCCTAATTTAGTTTGAGGTATTATTTATTACTATACCTAAAATCTAGTGTTTTCTAGAGGATGTTCAGCGAGTGTGAGAAGAGGGGGAGGGAGTTGAGTCCATTATTTGAATGGACATTAACTTGGCGACTGTATTTCTCTATTTCTCTTAAGTGTTAATTGTGTGCATGTACCATCATAAAATTAAGATGTTATTTTTACTAGAACATAGGTATTGTGTCGGAAAAAGTGGAGTTTGGGGGTCAGCCGGTCTCTATTTCATTTAATCCCATATGTTATGTTGTTCACTTTACGCGGGCCTCCGTGGGTTCAATTGACCGCGCAAAGTGAGGGTTCACTGTGTATATATATATATATATATATATATATATATATATATATATATATATATATATATATATATATATATATATATATATATATATATATATATATATATACAGGTAGTTCTGCTATAACGCGATAATTGTGTTCTTGTAAAATATCGTGTTATAGAAAATCGCGTAATAGAAATAACGGGGCTTATGGAGAAAATAGGGTTAGGTGCAGATTACTCGAAATCGGCAAAATTTAGTAGTTAGCCTAACACAAAGGATACCACAGTCTAAATAAATGTTACATTCATATCTAATAATGAAATCATACAGTAAATGTAACACTACCTTGAAAAAATATGAATGTAACTTGATGGGGGAGAAGGGTGATTTTGAGGTTGATCACATCGAGCTTCTCTTCAAGTGTTATATCCTTTCTTTTACGATCATCACCGGGAATTCTTCACCAGAACGCTTCTTGGAGATATTCTTCTTTACCATATTCACAATTAATACCACAAAATTGGAGAAATAGTAAGCAAAAATCGCGTTATAGCAAACAAGCGTTCGCGTTATACAAATATCGTTCCTAATTCATAAATCGCGTTAGAGCAAATTCGCGTTATCAAAACACGCGTTATAGCAGAACTCACTGTATATATATATATATATATATATATATATATATATATATATATATATATATATATATATATATATATATATATATATATATATATATATATATATATATATATATATATACAGTTTTACCCCGCCTAACGCGGTTTCACTTAACGCGTTTTCGCATATACGCGGTGCCTTGCCAAAGCTGAACTTTCACTTAACGCGGATTTTTTCCACATATACGCGGTGAGTGTCCGAGACGCTATTTTTAGATTTGCCCCACCCGCCACCCTGCCTGACTGCCTGTTTTAGCTCATAAAATTCATACAAATTACCAGGCCAGAATATAATTTACATTGCTGGAATTCTTATAATTTGGTGATCATTTTGAATATAAACATCATATATTTTGCTTTAAACTTACAATTTTTAGATAAAATTTTTCTCTAGGTAACTATGGTATCTTTTGTGCAAAATATATGACATTTATATTCAAAATATTCCTGGTCTTACAAGGAATCCAGCAATGTCAATTATATTATCCTAACTTTAGTTTGAGTTATTATTTATTAAAATTTAGTGGTTATCCCACACATCTCCTTGGGACGGTTGGTGGGTGGTGGGGGGGAGGGAGGGACCAACCGACCATCTGTTACCCTGTGAAGAATTATTATTTTTTTTTATTAACTGAAGATATTTGTTTTAGCTCATAAAATTCATACAAATTACCCGGTCAGAATATAATTTACATTGCTGGAATTCTTATAATTTGGTGATCATTTTGAATATAAACATCATATATTTTGCTTTAAACTTACAATTTTTAGATAAAAAATTTTCTCTAGGTAACTATGGTATCTTTTGTCCAAAATATATGACATTTATATTCAAAATATTCCTGGTCTTACAAGGAATCCAGCAATGTCAATTATATTATCCTAACTTTAATCTGAGGTATTATTTAATACTAAATGTTAAAAACTCTGGAAGGGAGGATTGGTGGGGGTGGGGGGGAGGGTTGGGACTGACCGCGCGGTTGGAAGAGGGGGGGAGGCAAGGTGGGGTACTTTGATTGACAGATAGTGTCGTGAAGATTATTTTTTTTTTATTAACTGAAGATATTTGTTTTAGCTCATAAAATTCATACAAATTACCCGGTCAGAATATAATTTACATTGCTGGAATTCTTATAATTTGGTGATCATTTTGAATATAAACATCATATATTTTGCTTTAAACTTACAATTTTTAGATAAAAATTTTTCTCTAGGTAACTATGTTATCTTTTGTGCAAAATATATGACATTTATATTCAAAATATTCCTGGTCTTACAAGGAATCCAGCAATGTCAATTATATTTTCCTAACTTTAGTTTGAGGTTATCCCACACATCTCCTTGGGAAGGTTGGTGGGGGGTGGGGGGGGGAGGGAGGGACCGACCGACCATCTGTTAGCCGGCTGTGTAGTGTGAGAGGGGGAGGGAGTCGAGTCCATTATTTGAATGGACATTAACTTGGCGACTGTATTTCTCTATTTCTCTTAAGTATTAATTGTGTGCATGTACCATCATAAAATTAAGATGTTATTTTTACTACAACATAGGTATGTGCCTTCCAAAAGTGGAGTTTGGGGGTCGGGCCGGTTTCTATTGGAATTAATCCCATATGTTCTGTTGTTCACTTAACGCGGATTTCACTTAACGCGGGACCCTCTGGGTTCAATTGACCGCGTTAAGTGGGGTACAACTGTATATATATATATATATATATATATATATACTGGCAATTCCTGTCAATTTCTCTGTATTAACTATATACGATATAAAAAATACATCATACTGGTTATACAATGCATCACACAACCAGAAATACCAACCTTATCAAATTAAAATGGCCTTAGTCAGCGATCAGTGCAGAGGCCATCAGACCTAGGGGTATAGAATATTTTTTTTGCCGACTGTACATATATACTCACACAATCAGAAAGAAATGTATTAAAAATATTGAGTCTACCCTCAAGTCCACTCCATGCTTTGTTATTAATAAAGCACGTAAACTTGAGGGTGGAATCAACATTTTTAATTTACATTTGTTTCTGATTATTTGCATGAGTATTTTCCCATTATTATTTATTTGTATGTGTTTGTGTGTAGTGTCTACAGACACACACACACAATACAGGTAAAGGAAATTACTGTCTCTAGAACAAACGTCTCCGGTACAGGCCACGAAAATGCCGGCAACTTTAAAACAACCTGCAGACATTCTTGGGTACATCCAGGGTGCCATCCGCGAATAATAGAGGACCGCAAAATAAATATCTGCGAATTATCAGGACATACTGTATTGTTATTCACCTCACTTATGTTGAGTGTCAATTATAACACTGAACTAACCTTAATGTATTCAATGTATGCTCACAGCAGTTCATTCCTGGAGATATCATGGCAATCATACATGTCTTACTCTTGTCTCGGATGAAGGAGTCACGTAGCACTTGGGTTAATTTAGAGACTCGGAATGGTAAATGTGATCCTTTGCGATCCAAAGCACGGATACATTCTTTAAGAGCTAATAGAGATTTATTGATTTCTGCACCTTCCATTCCTGTAGAATTAACAGACAGTATTAGTATTCTATGACTTGTACATTTGTTTCTTGCATCAAAGTACTAATTACTTGTACTGTACAAGAAAAATATAAATCACCTAATTTTGATGGATATGATCAACTGAAGCATCTCATTCTACTTCTATAGAAAACCTCACTAACACTATACTTTAGAATTTTATATAAATGAACAGTATAATATGAAGTTAATAATCAGGAAGTTAAAAGTACACTGTATTTCACTAAATAATAATTTAATAAGTCTATATACTAACATTTCCTTGTAATAAATTAAATTTCTAACATCAAAACTATCTGCTAAATATATTTAAGTGGATTAATTGTTATTGAGATATACAGGTAACACTTAATAGACCACAACATATAAATGTAACAAAGTTGAAATTAAGGAATATATTGGTGATCTTTACTTCCTGGATGACTGTGGCTTGATTAAAAAAAAAGGGATTTGGGGCCAAAATTACCAGACCTGATTCTTATGATAAATCCTTTTTTTCTTTAATACTAATCATTGTTTCAAATGAATGATATATTCATATGATTATCCAAAGAAATTATAAAATCACAAAGAACTTACGAGTTTGTCTGTTAGCACTTGAGGTGTCTGCTCCCCTCTCATTACCAGCCAAGTCAATGAGAGAGAACTTGCCATGAAGTTTGTAAGATTTATCTCCTTGCTTCTCTATTCTATCCAAATTTCTTAAAATGATCTGTGAAATAGAAAACATTTTGAATAATGGGTTCCCCTGACTAAAATATTTAGCAGTTATTATATTTTCAAGACTGGCAGTGAGACATAGCTATAACAATTAACCCTATCCATTAATCCTGAATTCTTCAGGGGAATTGCATCACATGGACAACACAATGAATCTTCAAGACCTCAGACCACCTAAGAGTTAGGTACCTATGTGCCAAGTTAGTATTATGCAGGGATTATAATGAAATTGACAACACTGATATCCAAGGACCAGCTGTTACTATCACAAGTTGTGAACTTCCCCACACACTGTCAAAATACCCTCGACCTTATCTTAACCGACTTAGCGGACCAGTACCAACCTATCAGTGCTCTGGTCCCCAGCTGCCACTCCCACTCAAGTACAGAGACCCTACATCAAGACCTACAGGCCAATTACTGACTCTGCAGTGCATCTCTTCAGGCAGTGGATAGTTCACCATCCCTGGACTGAAGTACTTAGTGTGGATGACGTGGACACCAAATGGATAAATTATACAAACACCACCACGGAAGCTCACCACCACTTCTTCCCCGAGAAGTCCGTCATATCTCACCCAGCTGATTTGCCCTGGATCACACCTCGGATCAAAAGACTTATGCAACAGAGTCAGAGCCTTTTAGCTCAATGACCACAACCGCTACAGTTCTCTTCGCAACAGAGTCATCCGCGAAATACGCACTGCAAAGAAGTCTTACTACCCAACCAAATTGCAACACCTGAAGCAGACAAACATCAGTCAGTGATATTGGTAAGCTTAAAGAACTCGTGGACTAAACAATAAGACTCGCCCCCTCCCCTTCCTTAGCCATCCCACTAATGTTAACGCAGCTGAGCAATCAAATAACCATTTCACTACTATATGCCAGACGGTCCCCCGGCTTGACACAACCAATCTCCCTGCTTACCTACCAGCCCCCTTTCCCACTGACTTAGTAGAAGAATTTGAAGTAGCAAAACGTCTAGACAAACTGAAGTTAAAACGATCCACCACCCCCATTAACTTACCAATGAAACTCTTCAAGGAGTTCTCCCTGGAGCTTGCTAAATCCCTCTGCTCCATCAATGCTTCCCTCAGTCAAGCCAGATGTACAGCTGACTGGAAGACTTCATATGTCACCAGTGCCCAAGTCAACCAGCCCACAAACCTTAAATCAGCTATAACCCATTGCAATCACCCCAATACCCAGCTTAATCTGTGAAAGTTTTGTGTTTGACTGGGCTTATGCTGATATTGCAGGAGCCGTATATCCTCAGCAATTTAATATGAAAACTTCCTCCACCACTCACTGTCTTGTCAGCTTTCTCGACTACATATACCGCCATCTGGAGAAATGAAAAGCGTCTGTAGCTGTCGCCTTCACCAAGGCATTCAACCTAGTCGCCCACAATTTAATCATCAACAAAGCTATCGACTTTGGGTTTCGAAGAAGTCTTACACCATGGCTTACAGACTTCCTCAGTAACTGACGCCAAGCTGTACGCTTCCGAGGGGCTGTTTCCACCATTGTCACTCACCTGTGGCATTCCCCAAAGCATCAAGATGGGATCACTATGCTTATCAATGATGCCTAAAGAGAAACTCCTGCTTGCTGGAAATATGTCGACGACTCCACCATTGGGATCAGTGTCAACAATTCTGCTTCCAACTATACAGCCTTTCAGGATTTATTGAAGTCTCCAAAACTGGGCCACCAACAACCACGTGCATAACCATGGTTATGGACATCAACCTCTCCTCCGACATTGTCCCACCCCCTTCCATTACTTTAGGTCCTAACACACTCCAGGTTGTAGATTCCACTAAGCTCCTCAGCATCACCATAGATAAACTAAATTGGAAACCACATGTAGGTGAAGTTGTCAAATCCTCCAGTTTCCGTCTCCACCTCATCCACATAATCAAGTCCCTCGGAGTTCCTGCCCCCGAGCTCCTTAGTGTTTACTCAACATTCATACTTCCCAAGCTCACCTATGCCTCCCCTACCTGGTCTTCCTCCCTAAATGCCACACAACAATAACACCTAGAAAAAGTGCAAAAGAGGGCATGCAAGAATATTCTCTCCTCTTCCTACTCCACATATCAAGAAGCGCTCAACACACCGACCCTCTCGGCTCTCACTGACCATCACCACGACCTCATCTGCAAATTTGGTGAGAAGCTTCTGCACCATCCTCAACACCGGCTCCTACTACCACCCAAGATCCCTCGCCCGAAAATTGCTGTTTGACACCACAACTGCATCCAGCCCATATGATCACAAACTGATCGCTATAAGGGCCAATTGCAAGATCAGCCGTGGTGTATACCATGCTGTAGTACTCCCATGGTTGTTATGCAAGAAGCGATTTTGGCTAAAATAAAAAAAAATATGTACGATTTGTTATTGGAACATGGGGAAATTTCGTGGTACACGTACCCCCCGCCAGATGATTACTACGAGGGAACTATTTTTTAAACCAAAAGAAAGAAAACTGATTTGGATGCACTTAAAATGTATAAATCTGCAAAGTAATAATATTTTTTATACGATATGCTCCATATAGAACAGCACATGCAGAATTGTATTGTTCTTTTTAAAAGAGGTCCATGTTTGTGTACGAAAAATGCCGCCAGCCTCTACTTATCTCATCGCCGTTTATATCCCCCAAATTCGCCTAACCATCATAAAAGGTAAGCCTTTAAGATAACTAATACAATAATTTGTGTGTAGAAATTTATCAAATTGAACTAAAAAAAGTCGTAAATGGTTTATTTGAAGAGTGGTGAGAACAGCTTCCTCAGGGATGGTGAATGACGTCCTTTATCAGAATTAATATCGACTCAATTTTTGTAACGAGGGCAATTAATAACAGTCCAGCACTACCAAAATAATTATTTCCTTAGTATAAATACTTTGTAGCATAAATTTCATATTTTAATAAGTCCAAATATGCCGGGTAACCATTGCCAGGTGAATCCAAACTGGTCCATCCGTGATGGTCAATGGACGTCCTTTATCAGAAATAACATCGACCCAATTTTCGTAATGAGCACAATTAATAACCGTCCAGCACTACCAAATAATTATTTCCTTAGTATAATTACTTATTAGCCTAGATTTCATATTTTAATAAGTCCAAATATGCCAGGTAACTCGTGCTAGGTACTTCCCAGGCATGTTTCATTTGTGTATCAGTTTAACCACAATTTGCTGCTATTAAGATAAATTCAGTGACCTAAATTCATGTTTTATTTTTTTATTCCCTTAGTGACTCAATGTACAGTCAACCCTCGTTAAAACGGAGTAATTGGGGGGGAAAGGTGTCCGTTTTAGCCGATTGTCTAATTAACCGATTTAGGGGTTAATATTGCATAATATTGCATTATATTTCAAAGAAAATGCAGTGAGTTTGTCCTTAGCCTTGCATATGTCCGAAACTGTTTGCTTTTTAACACCATACTCGTCACAAACTCTAGCCACCGAAGCACCAGCCTCTAACTTCCTTATAAGTTACAGTTTATGGTTCACAGAAATGGTCACATACTTCCTCTTCAGCGTATTACTCCCCCTTGAAGACATGATGTAAAATACAAGGCTGAAAGATCCCTAATCACTGAAATATCAACGAAAATTGCAGGGCAACACAACACTGATACTCGAATATGGCGCTAAGTCAACAATGACTGGCGGTCTGGCGCACACGCCATCTATCGGACAATCCAAGAACCAGAAATTTGATACGGACAGTCCCTCGTTTAGTTCAGATTTCGTCAAAATTATCCGAAATCTGGATTAAAGGGGTCCGAATTAACGAGGGTCGGCTGTATTACAAGAAAGAACTACTTTACGACTTGTTTGGGTCAACAGTTGAAGTGGTGATATTAATTAACTTTGCCATTGACAGTATGTCCATGATTTCAACAAAAATGATAAGTCCTTCTAAAGTAAATGGAATTGATGATGATATTATCTTTTGGCCATCCAGCGAATTTTATGATTTTAAGTTGACCGATTTTTACCAGTTATGTTAGGTTACGTTAGATTAGTTAAGTTGGGTTAGGTTAGGTTTGGTGACATTGAAATTATGTTTTTTCAAATGCAAAGTAGGTGGATGACCTAAACATTCATTTTACCAAATTGATTATGAGTAGATCAAAAACATTAGTCTTGTTTTTTTTACAAATTCAGACTCCGTAAAGTTCAAATGACAATCACTTCACGATAGATGTTTGATACCAAAAGAAGTCATTGATGATAATATTTAATAACAATATTTCAGGTATTACGACCTGGTCGTCGGGACGGAACACCGCCGTAAGTCGAGGAGAGACTGTAATACATTTTCATCTTTAAACTCCTTGTATCTTACCTAACTCACTTTGATGCTCCACTCAATTATAGCTAGATGTAATAATTGTAGAAAGTAATCACAGGTATGACTCCCTTTATCGTTAATTGTTTTTATATTACAATTCTTTGATATTCAAAGATAATGAAATTATGAATCTTCAATAAAAATGATATACGTACATTCTAATGATGACAACAGAAATATGTCACACTTGACTAATTAACTGTAACCAGAAATTAATGTAAGTGAATTTGTCCTTAATCCAACCTTTAAAATATGAAAGACAGTATACTTTATTTTATGATAGTTAAGTCAATTTCCAGTTAGGTAGCATTTTTATATAGATCACTAAAATTTTAAAGGGCTTTGAATTTTTGTTCTATGAATTTCTCCAACAAAAAAAGGGATCAAAGTTTTGGAATCACTATAACAATATACACTACAGTACATTAGAAAAAAAAAAAAAAAAATTTTAGTGTGTGTGTTGCATATCAAACCAAACAAATCTGAGTTTCCATTGGAATTTTTTTTTTATTTTTTTTTTTAACAGACAAAATTACCCTCAATATTTAGATGTTGGAAACTTATAAATATTAACCATCATAAATATAGAGGTTTCAGAATTTGCAAATTTA